ACTTTCTTCTCAACAACCTTGCAAGCTTCCTTCAAATGGCCAATCTGACCACACTTATATCAAAAGTTGGAAATTTTCTCATATTCCACTCTTTGATAAAATTTGCCATTTATTCCTTCCACCCAAACACCAGTTGGCAGTTTCTGATCAAGCTGAATGTGAACACAAATCCTGGAAAATTCTCTCCTCTCCCATTGGAACATATCTCCATCTATCAAAATAGGTTCTCCAATAGAAGAAGCTATCCTTGATACATTAATTTCATCCCAGCAGTAAAGCGGCAAACTTGGCATCCTAATCCAAATTGGAGAAGACAACCCTTTGAGTGAGTTGGGATTGAGATCTGAATTCCACTTATCCAGCCCAATTATATGCCCATTGACAAACCATGGGTCTCCCGAAAGAACATTCTCCATGGCATCATTAGAGAAAAAAGAGCATAATACCCAATCAGAACCAAGGCTCGTAAGATGAAACTTACCAAACTTTGTCCACTGCCGTCTCAGCTCAACCGCTATCAAATGAATCAGTATGCGACACCCAAACACCTTCACAACAATGTAGGACAACAACTTCTTAGAATTAGCTCTAATATTGGGCTCAAATAGCTTGACTACTGATCCATCTTCTATCAAAAATGATTTACAGGCCAGAAGCTTAACTTAAATATATAGACATTTTGTCTATGGATTTATTTGTTCTTGCTCTGATGCCAATACACTGTCATTATCTTCCATTATCGATCTTGAATGATTTTCTCCCTCTATAGACTTTTCACAAACATTTGACTTGCATCCTTAAATATTCTCAAATAATTGGGCGTCTCCTAATACAGGTATCAGTTTCAAATTGGTGAACAATTAATTTTCTCTCTGAAGAAGAAGATCCGGCCTTAAGAATGGTTTGAGGAGAGTTCATTCCATCTTCAATCAAAACTTGTTTACCTTTCCACAACACAGGAGATACAACTGATGCCTTTTCCACATTTGGCACTCGGATAACCAGAGCTATATTACAGATTCTTGAAGCATTCCCAAAATTCGCTTTACTGGACGTCAATGATGCTATTCCCTTCCACGGAGGAACATTTCGGTCATCGGAGATGGCCAGAGGATGATCCTCCATCACCAGCGTGAAACCCACCAATGAGCCACTAAACAAAAAATTTGAAAAATTTCCTTTGAAAATGGGAACTTTCTCTCACTAACTTCTCTTAATTCTAGTTCTTTTTTCAATTGTTGAGATTCGGATAACTAGTTTTTCTCTTATTCTAAGATAATTAGTTTTTCGATTGTTGAGATTCATACAACATGTATATTTTTTATGATTCAAAATATTATTATTTCAATTATAATTTCTTCTAACATATTTTGGATGTACTATTTTGTTGTTTGTGTGTACTAATATTTTAGGAAAATCATACTCCAGATTATTAAAGAATTTAAATTAGATTAGATTAGGGTTAATTGTCAATAAAGTCTGTATTTTTTATTTTATTGAGTATGAGAGTGTGATTATAATTGAGTAAATGTGCATATACACACTGGGGAGAGTTTAAAATTTATAAATTTTTAAAACTGATCGTCTTATATGAAGTCATTTTGTATGGGACAATTGGTTCAATTATTTTCCCCTACGAGCAGTCAAACGAACTGCAGGTAGAAATTTTTTCTAATTATAAATCGTACTGTACGAAGTCGCCTTCGTACGTACGTCGTCCAGAGTACGAATTGGATGGGTACTTTTTTGTCCAGATGAATTCAAAGTTTTTCTGAAACTGATCATAATGTATGATGTCATCATCATACGTACATCATCTAGATTATAAATAAGACGAGTCCCTTTTCATCCCGATGAACTTGAAAATTTTTTAAATCTGATCGTAATGTATGATGTCGTCATCATACGTACGTCATCCAGAGTATGAATTAGATGGGTCACTTTTTATCCCAATGAATTCAAAATTTTTTTGAATGGTTCATACTGTATGATATTCCATTCATACGTACTCATCCAGAGTACAAAAATGTGGGGTCCCTTTTCGTCCCGACGAAATAAAAAATTTTCTAACTATTCATACAATACGAACTTGGTTCGTACTGGATGATCATCATGTATAAAATCATTTTGTATAAATTTGCATAAAGTTCATATGCAACAATTTTTGAACTATTTGTTTGTACAAAAATATGATCGTATTGTACGATGTACACACTCAAAATTGTAATTTTTAGTTTTCTGGATGATTTTTTCATGTCTTTCATATAAAAGGTCCTTTAAAACTGACATGTGAAGTGTTCTTCTTTGTGATTTTTCAAGAGCAAGTGAAAGACTGCATTTGGGAGAGTGTTTGAGAGAGATTTTTTACAAGAGAAGTGTAAAGCGTTCTCAAGGTTACTCAAAGGTAAGGATCACTTTGTGTTTTACATTGCAACTATTCTTTTCTTCATTCTAGTTGCTCGAGGGAAAATCTTTTGAAGTAAGACGACAGTACTCTATCGACACTTGGAGGGTATGAATAAACAATGGTACTATACCGATACTTGGAGGGCATGAATAGACGACGGTACTCTGCTGAAACTTGGAGAGTTTGAAAGGACAACAGTACTATTCTGCCTTGAAGATAGGGGAAAAAGAGAGAATTTGTAAAGGCTTCTCTGCCTTACTATGGGTGCTAAATGAGAGTCACTTTTGATAATAGTGTAATACTTTAAGAGGGAGTCTTCAGGGAGTGGATATAGGTTGTGTTTGATCGAATCAATATAAACCTTTATCTTTTAATTTTTTGCATTTATTTTCTATAATTTGTTTTACTGTGGTTGAAAAGTTCATTTTACTTTAAAATAAAATTGTTATAATATTTCAAAATAATTTACTATTAAAAGTCCAAGAGAAAATTTTTAAATTACCAATTCACCCCCTCCCCTTAGTTAGCCTTGGGATAATAGCTTAGGTTTAACAACCTCTAAGGAATTAACAAGTGGTATCAGAGTAAGGTTTCAAAATTATAAGTTTAGACTATTTTAAAAAAATAAAAATGGTTACTTCTGGAAACCGAAACACACTAGAAGGATATTCGATCACTAGACCCCCATTATTTGACAATATTCCTTTTGATTTTTGGAAAACACACATGTCTACATTTCTGCAATCACTTGATTATCGCATATGGATTTTAGTTCAAGAAAGGTATACTAGGCCAACTAGACTAGTAGATGGTATTAGAGTTGAAACACCCTTTACTAATTAGACTTTAGAAGAATATGACTTAGCATAATTAAATGAAAAATATTTAAAATAGTTTCTTTTATACACTCAAGTCAGAAGATTACATGCAGATTTTCACTTATAAAAGTGGAAAGGACATTTTTGATAGACTTTATATTACTTACGAAGGGAATAATGAAGTAAAATAATATAGATTAAATATCTCATTACAAGACTGTACATTATTTCACATGAAACCCAATGAATCCATTTCTGATATGTACACAAGATTCACTCAATAATTACTTCTTTGCATGCATTAGGTAGGGAACTAATAGATGCTAAAATTATTAATAAAATTCTGTATTATTTGCCTATTTCATATGATGCAAAAATAACTACTATTATAGAGTCAAAGGATTTAAATGTTTACTCTATTTATAATCTTCTTGGATCACTAATTGCTTATGAGCAAGTAGTGAGTCAAAGGAAGATTGATGGAGGAGAATAGTGAAAGGAGAAGAATATAGCACTAAAAGTGGATGTTTCTGAGAGTGATCAATCAAAACTTGAGGATGATATTGCCTTGATGATAAGGTAATTCAAGAGTTTTTTTAAAGAAGAAGCAGAGGAGAAACCAACAGTGGAATAGAGGTAAGTTCTATAAAAATGTTAAGATTTATGATGATGTTATTTGCTATGAATACAGGAAACTTGGACATATAAAATTGGACTACCCTAATCTTAACGCCACTCCTAGCAAGGAGAAGGTAGAGGAGAAAGAAAATGGGAGAAAGGGAAATAAGAGATTTTAGAGAGCTTTCTGGGTGGACTTAGCTTGGATTCATAAGAAATAGAGAAAGAAGAGCAAGTCACCAACCTGTATTTAATGGATTATAGTCTTGATCAGTCATACTAAGAAGAGGTATGTGACTTAACAAGTGATGAATTTCTTGAAGTTTCTAAAAGAATACATGTTGTATATAGAAAACTTAAGAAAATGCATGCTAGCTTGAACCTAGAATTACAAGAATTACAAAAAGAGCATGAAATCCTTAGAAAAAATTATGCACAGATAGACAACAATCACATGAGCTTACTTGATGAATTCGATGATTTGAACAAGTAAAATGAATTATTGAAATAACCCTAAACTAAATTGGAAAAATAATTGAAGGATTTTAGGGATGAATATGAGAAAAGAAAGCACTATCTAAAATAAGATAACCTTGTGTTTAAAGATGCAAACTCATTTCATAGAGTAATGGGGAAAACTCTCAAGAAAAATAGGATACCCCCTACCCTTGAAGATTTTTGTAATCCTATTTTGAAGGCAAAACTTTTAAAACCTAGGAAAAGACAGATTCATTATCGGAGATTGAAAAACCCTTTTTATGGAGTTAAATATTTTACTTGTGGGATGATTGGACATATATCACACACTTATATTTTATAACACACTTATATTTTACATAGAAAAACTCATTTAGTGTGGAGATCTAGGATGCATAAGTTAAGTCATATCATACATGGATCTAGTTTTATTTTGCCAAAAGGAGAACCCAAACTTGTTTGGGTTTTCAAGTCTAACATTTGATTATTTTGTAGGTACATTCTCATACAAGACCTCGTGAGAGCATTTGGTACCTGGATAGTGATTGCTCCAAGCATATGATTTGAGACACTACATAATTCATATCATTGGAAGCTAGGAATGGAGGTAAGGTTACATTGGGAGATAAATCCACTAGGAAAGTGGCTGGCACATGTATGATAAAAAATTTGAAAAAAAAATTTATTGAGAATGTGTTACTTGTTGAAGGCTTAAAACATAATTTGTTAAGTATAAGCCAGCTATATGATAAAGGGTATAGAATTAAATTTTTTTCCACTAGCTATATATTAAGCCTAAATGGAAATGATTTATTGTATGTAATTAGGGTAAACAATATTTATATGCTAGATTTGAATTCTATTAAAACTCCTAATGTTTTTTGTTTAAAAATAATTTCTAATGAGTCATGGTTATAACATAGGAGACTTGATTACGTTAGCTTGAAAAATCTTAGAAAAATTACCCAAAAGTAACTTATTAGAGGTATACCAAAAGTAGACTTTATTAAGGATCACCTTTGTGAGGCATGCCAACTAGAAAAATATGTGAAGTCCTCATTTCATTCTAATAAAGATCTTAGAACTAGTAAATCATTGGAGCTTATACATATTGAACTTTTTGTGTTGCATATCTATTTTCAAAAATAGAATTTTGATGATTGTAAACACATTTATTTTTCTTCGATTGCCTTGCCTACTACCATTTCAGGTCCACATGATCAAGACTGTAATTTGAACTAGCTCAAGATTTGGTAGATTAGGCCTAAGTCAGTTTGTAATGTATTTTTTCCCCTTTCTTGAGTTAATTGTAATCATTGTGGTGCTTGATGCTAAGTAACCCTGTACGCACACACTTGAGTGATTTTTTCTATCTAAATTAGAGTTTTTTTTATTTTTCTCACATCATCTGGGATGATCCCAAAATCATCCTAGACGATCGGTCAAAAATAAAAACCCTAATTAAGGCATCATGATTAAGGCAGCCGTCATTAAGCATATCGTCCTGGACAATTTTTGTATCTTCCTAGACGATAGGATCAAATCAGACGATAGGCTCAAATCAGAAAGAATCAACCACCAAATCAATTTAGGTAGCTTTATTTTTTAATTATCATTCAGGACATCGGCCTAGATGAAGAAGTACAATTATGCCTAAATTGATCTAGAGATTAAGAAAAGTAATTAGGTTGATTGATACGATCATATCGTCCTAGAAGATCACAGGATCGGCCAGGATGACCAGTTCAAAAACCTTGATTTCTCCTGGATGACCAAAAATCATACAACATCTATTCAGTGCGATG